GGAGAGAGGGGCGGCCAGCATGGGCCATGCGCCCCCTCCCCCCTCTGGTCCGAATTGGACTAGGAGGGGGGGCGGCGCCCCCCCTTTCCTTCCCCCTCTCCCCCTTCCTTCCCCCTCCTAGTAGGAGTAGGAAAGGAGGAGTCCTACTCCTACTAGGAGGAGGATTCCTCCTCCCTTGGAGCGCCCAAGGGGCCGGCCGGCCTCCCCCCTTGCTCCTTTATATACGGGGGCAGGGGGGCACCCCATAGACACACAAGTTGATCTACGGATCGTTCCTTAGCCGTGTGCGGTGTCCCTCTCCACCATATTCCACCTCGGTCATATCGTCGCGGAGTTTAGGCGAAGCCCTGCGCCGGTAGAACATCATCATCGTCATCACGCCATCGTGCTGACGGAACTCATCTCCGGAGCTTTGCTGGATCGGAGGCCGGAGATCGTCATCGAGCTGAACGTGTGCTGAACTCGGAGGCTCCGTACGTTCGGTGCTTGGATCGGTCGGATCGTGAAGACGTACAACTACATCAACCGCGTTGTGCTAACGCTTCCGCTTACGGTCTACGAGGGTACGTGGACGAACACTCTCCCCTCTCGTTGTATATCATCACCATGATCTTGCGTGTGCGTAGAAATTTTTTTGAAATTACTACGTTCTCCAACAATAGGTGCTTAGTTTCTTGTTGCTAAGCTTCTTGTATTTAATTAGTTGTAGACTATAATTATGTTTTTGTCTAGGTACATGTGCCTAGCATCATTTCTTTCTAGGGTCACCAAACTTCTCTCTCTCTCTCTCCTCTTAATTAACTTGTCACATCAGATTTTTTTCCTACTTCACAATCTTAGCACATATACAAGGTGGAGCACTGAGAAGGGCTTGATAGAGTGTGGATCATGAAATCAAAGCATTGGTTTAAATATTTATCGTAGCCGGAGGTTTGCGAACAGACCCTCAAATGAGGAAAAGCGATTAAAAATGACCAGTTCTTTGCTCTCAAATGAAGATCGTCCATAGAAGAGGGATCCAACACGAAGGAATACCATCTTCACATAGAGGTGCGGCGGATCGACATAGATATTCTCATTTGCCATGGCCAAGTCTGGGGCGACTTAGCCATTCACGGCCATCGGATCAAGGATAAAAGGACGAGATCCGTCCAGTCACAATTCCAATTTTGGTCACAATAATCATTGTCATGTGTTATTGTATCAAAGTGATATTCGTTGTGTTATGTATCATCTCATCTAGATGGTGAGTATTTGATCCAATGGTTGAAAATGAGCAAAGTCCTAATACATTTCCTTTTTATCCCAAAAAGGAATGTCAAAAGCCATAGCGGAGTCCGTCGCGCCATGATGAAGTTTCGGAAATTCGCAGGGGCAAGCACTTGCTCGACCTTTGATCTACTTCATGATTTGCAAATTTGTTTGGAGAGGAAAAGGCCTCAAATTGATGTTGAAATTCGGTATACTATGAATACGTGACCATATACACACCCATCTTTGTACAGATATCTCCATCAGTCTCACAAGTTTCACTAAATTGAGTAAAATTTGAGAATTTCCGCTAAATTGGATAAAAGCTGTTACAAACTTGAAACCAGGAACTAAAAATTGAACTTCACTCAAATAATAAGCTGTCACAAACTTGAAACTAGGGCTAAAAATTGAACTTCACTATAATAATAATAATAATAATAATAATAACAATAATAATAATAATGATAATAATAGTAATAATAATAATAATAATAATAATAATAATAATAATAATGTTTTCATAAAGTAAAGAACAAGAAACAGGCTCACCCCTTGTATACTTTGGCTACTTCAGCACAAATGATCGTTCTCAACCAGAGTTAAACTTGATAACACATAAGTCAATGGTTTCTTTTACCTCTCTACCATTATACTATGCAGATGTGCCGTGTGGGAACATAGGAATGCATAAATATATAACCTTGAATAGTCCTATGAACATGACGTGAATTTCATTGATTTTGTTAGTTGGTTATATTTAACTAGTTGTACTTTGGCCAGGTTGTCTCCCCTGATCTTTTTGGTTTTCAGTTGCTGAGGGAGTCAAATATGAATTATAAAAATGGATGAATATGACAGAATGCATATTTATCTTAAGATTTTTGTTGTCACACTACTTAATTGATAACCGGATGATTCCAAAAGATATGTATAAATCCAAAAGATACTGGTCAATCCATATGCTCCACAAATATTAGGAAGAAAGAAACCGGGGGAGGCAGCTGATGATTGGCCTCAACCACTAATTTTGCCAAGAAAAAACATTGGTTTTTTGTTTAGATAGAAGAAAGAAAAGTATTTCTGTTGCTTTCTGTGGTTGTCTTAATAGGTCGATAGTTCTCCTTCAGAAGTTTCAGCGTAGTTTATGCGTTCATATCGATGCGGTCTATTCCGTACTCAGGATCGTGCATGATAATATCGCTTCAGTGGACTGGATTCAGATATCTAGCGTGCTTGTCTAGCCTATTTGTCTGCAATCAAGCTGCAAATGAAAATAGACTGTTACTTTGCTGGCGCGGGAGATGAAATTGCGTGACTGCTCGAGGTGTGAGTTCGTTTTGTTACGTAATATGGTCTGTGTGCGTGATAGATTGATACTCTACTATACATGTCTGGATGTTAACAAAAAAAAAATTATATTTTTGAGAATATGGTAAGAAGAAGTTAATATACTGCCCCACTGTTCTTTCCCTATAGCGGTTCAGAAAGATGACACCACATAGAAGGTTTTTTTTCTTCAGATAAAGGATATGCTAACAAGAGTTCCTTTTTTGTGCAGAAACTGCAGCACTGCGAACTTTGTGATAGACTAGCATTGCATAGGCTAGGCCCAACATAAAGAGGTGCAGATTTCCGCCCACCAGCATGCGTGATGGGCTCAGTAAGGCCTGTGGACCCGGTTGTAGTAGTAAACGAGGGAGAGTGGTCACTGTGGAACACATGGCCCAAGTGAGTACCACCTTTTTGCTAACAGGAGCCCACAGTTTGGCTCAATGTCTTCAATTTACAGAACACAAGGCTTGCATCTGGAAATGGAAGATGATCAAAGCAATCTCGCCCCATCTTGGAAAGGAGGATGATCAACAGTCGGTTAGATGGATCCGGATTAAATATCTACTAAGCACTCCAAGTTTTGATTCAACGAATTTTCATAAGATTTTTGGAGGGTTAGAATTGTTAGAAAAAAAAATCTACGTTGGTCATTTGCTTCATAGGATTCTCATAGGATTGAATCCTATAGGAATTCTTTTCATACATTTCATAGGAAATCTAGCATCAACTACAATTTTTTTTACCATCCCTTTGTTTTCCTTGTAGTATCAAACACTCTCTGAAAATCCTATAGGATTTTTTTTTACGAGAAATCCTATAGAATTCAAGTGGGCATGCCACTCCAATCCTATATTTTTCCTGTTTCAATGTTTTGAGAATCCTGCAAATCAAAGAGGGCCTACTCAAGATGAAAATGGAAGGTGAAATGTACAGTGTAAAATGCCCTGGAAAGGAGAACGGGCAATGAGCAAAGGTTGGCTGAACGTGATTAATGGAAAGTTGGCTGACACGCAAACCAACATGGTTCCCTAAAACCAGACATCGCATCGTGTGGAACCTAATGATATGATCGCACGGAAGGGAAAGAAGAAGAAAAAGAAGGGGCTAGTGGGCTCGGAGAAGTGTTCACTACTCTGTCGGAGCTGGGCACTGGGGCACTGGGATCCGCAGAGCGACCTAGCAAGTGTCCATGTTGGATTACTGTATGGATACAACTCCAGTTCTCTTAGTATTTTACAAACAGATTACAGTGGATCTATTAGTTTAGGGACCCCGTCGTTTGTCATCATCCAGGCCCACTGATGCTACCACTGACAGAGGCCACAAAACCAGCCCAAACGGTTCAGCTCGACAAGATCGCCAACGGTGCAAACAGAGGAACATGACACTGGAAGGACCACCATGTATTTGGTATCAAGATCTAGGCCAAAGAAACGGCAAATGGATGTGTGTGATGGCATGGTACTGAAGTTGCTCATCTGAGCATTGTATTTAGTCGCTCATGTATCCTGTGCTTGCGCAACTGATGGTGTTTCTGTCTACGTTGTATCTATAAACACATGGAAATGACACACACAGGCAAGCAAAAGGCAGTTGAGCTGAGAGCTCCAACATCACATGTATGAAGGAATGAGATTCGGTGAACATGGAGCTTGATTTTCAACACATTGCAGCGATCAGTACTCGTCCAAGTAATTGTACAGCGACTCGTCGTTCCTCCACCGGCGTCTTGTGAGCAACGACTTGAGGAAGCCCCGGCCTTTGTTCGATTTTTTCTCCCTCTCTTTCTGGTTTTCATAGTCAGACTGCACCTGCATCGAGGTTTGTCTCTGCAAGGGATTATCACATCAGAAACTAGAGGGGGAAAAAACTGGCTTCAGGAAAACACACTATTAAACAGAAATACGCTGGGTTCTGGTTAACATACAAAATGCTTTGGATCCAGAGGTGGTCTTCTTGCGACTGTGGCAGATCGCGCGAGGGGATTGGGAGGAGTTGGTATTGGCGAACCTGCTCTTGTTTCTGTGAAGCAATGTCCGGTTAAGTTCTCTTCAGCAGAAGCTGCGCATTCAAAGAAAGCAGCACTTGCTCGTTCAAATGTGAGGTCAGAAAGCTATTATACCTTTCGGATTTAAGTTCACGACTTGGGGTGATGGTGATTTAGCTCGTGCTTTTCGAGAAGGCGACATGGATCGTGATCGATGGTGTGTTTCACGAACTGCTGGAGACTGTGAACGGACACTCCTGCAATAGAACATGTTTTAATAAGCCTGTATTATGTCTATTTTGACAAAGAACAGTCACAAGGGTTCTTATGAACACTTTGATCCACAATAACACGCAAACCACGGTCCTGAGCGTTGTCTGCCTACCTCATCGTTGTCTGCCTACTAACTGGAGTGGACATTGCTGGAAGATGAAACCATTAAGAAAAATCAATGACACAGCAATCACTCGAAAACTCAGAAATCAGAAAGGTAGTGGACTTACCAGACTGAGACTTGCGCATTTTGCGACCTGTATGTTGCCTGCTGTACCGTGTGGGCTCTGAAACCGGATGGATAGCGGATTCCACTATATCTGCGCCTACACAATGGAACAACAATTATCCATACAGCACAAGAAGGTTATTATGTAAAACACTAGAAACAGAATAGGTCGTGAATTTACCTGGTAATATGTAACGCCTGTGGTACTGCGGCGCCCTGATAAGAAGAGACTGTTGAGATCTTCCCTCCTGGTCAATTGCTTGCTGGCAAATCTTTACCCTCTACAACATTCAAAAAAAAAATCTTTACCCTCTACAACCATGTGAAATAATGTTGCCACAGTTAGGACTTGTGCGACATATTAACCAAGTTATCCGTGCAGAATGCCATAGACTCAAATGGGGGCATAGATGACAGCATTTACATTTGTTCAATTATATGAAGTTAGAGAACATAGACAGAATTACAAAAAAAAGTTTTCCCTTCATTCAGCATTCAATTACAATACCTGTTCAACCGACGATACTCGAAATTCTGTTTCATTAACCTCGTCAGCCTTTTCATTGACGAGATTATCCACCTTGTACGACACGAAACCCAGATGGTCAACAGTGCTAACAAGTGCCTCAACTGCGTAGTCTTTTAAACTCGTTACCACCCTACAGAAGACAAGTGCAAATGAGATGCAAGATATGAGATAGCCTTGTGTTTAACCAGCAAAGTAAACAAGCTCCGAAGAATTAAACAAAATAAAAGACCTTACGTAGATCTGTGCGAGTTGTTTGTGTAGAATACTTCAAAATATTCCGCCGCTGAGTATAGCTGCGACCGCAGATTCCTCAAGTCCTGGAAACAAACATAATTTAAGCTCAGCATAGAGGATACTATAAGATATGCCATATGGAAGGAACATCAATGATTAACTAAGGTGCAGCCATGTGGGGTTTCATCGTTAACAAGGATCCTAATTTCATTACCTCGAATAGCGACAAATTTGACAAGAGATGAAAACAGCACGCTAACGGTTGACATAAACAGACCAATAAGCGTGCCGGCATGCAACTAAGCTACAGTTCAAACTTCAAATGAGCAAAAGGCCACCGTATACGTGAGGCCCTACTACAAACTATGCATGACAACCTCCTTGGGTGCTGCTTATTTGCTAACAGCCTTGGTACCGATGGCCATTCCACTGCAACAAACCGTGCATTTTAAAAATCATAATGCGGCAGCGCTTTTGCTCAATTGGGGGAAAGCAAGAGAAAGGTTGGGCCATTACAGAGTAGCGCACCTAATTATGTGAGCAATAGAAGATTAGACATACAACTACATGGTACGGAAAAAGAAGGACTTATAGTAACATAATACTACTAGCAGAAATTATGAGCACACTAAGTTTGGAAAGGTCACTGCAGCGCCTACCCTGTTCGCTTCTCTATCTCTACCAAAATGGGAACAAAATCTTGAGATTGACAGGGACATAGGGGGGCCACAATCAATCGCCGCCCCAAAAATGGACCCACCACCAGATTTTCCGGTAACTCAGCCGCACAATCGAGAAATGAAGCCTGATTTCCGCAAGAACATCGCCTAGATCCATGGGAGGGGAGGCATAAGATTGAGCCTCGGAGCCCTGTGTGGGGTGAGGCGCAGAGAAACGTAGTACCTTGAGGCTGTCCGAGAAGAGGAGGCCCTCTTGCGAGGACGGCATGTCGTCGCTGGTGGAGGCGGCGTCGAGGTTGCGGGACGAGACGGAGGACGGTGACATTGCGACTGCCTCCATGGCTGAAGCCGCGGCACCAGGCACCCGCCCCCCACCAACCAGCCTAGCGGAAACTAGGCACTTCTCGCCAAGATTCTCCGGTGCCGGGCGCACCAAACCCCTCCTCGGCGGACCAAAACCCCCCAGGGAGCGCCGAGAAAAGCAAAGGGAGGGCTTTTGAAGAAGAGGCGCCGTGTACTCTCTGGTGGTGGGGGTGGGAGGGGAGTAGCCGGCTCACCTACACGGGAGTTGAGCTGCCAACGGCAAGATCTGGGTCGGGTCCTGGTGGGCTCGCGAGACGCTAGTGATTGGTAGCGACATGAGAGGGGAGGGGCCAGGGTAGGGGGGATAGATAGGGGCGAGGGGAAGAAGATGAGTGGGAAAAGAGGCGCTTTGGCTGCTAACTTTTGTGGGGGAGCGGAGCAATGAGGGCAAACTGCGGAGGTTGTTGAGCGACACAGACGGATCATGGTTTTATCCTGGCCGTGTCACTGCGGTGTGGGCCATGGATTTATCTTGTAGATTTTTTTTTTGAGGTAATAGCACCGCATGTCTAGGGGTGGGCACTTTGAAACCGAAAACCAAAAAACCAAACCGAACCGAACCTTTTTAACCGATTTGTTGGTTTATTCGGTGTTCGGTTTTATGGTTCGGTGTGAAAGCTGACCACTGTACGGTGTTCGCTGTCGTGTTCGGTTTTGATCGCTAACAAACCGAATTCACCGAAGAAACCGATCTGTACGTATCCTGGCTAGTATGTTCCTTTTTTAGGGAAAGGTTAGTTTGTTTCTATAGTGCAAGCGCAACAGCCGTCAGGCCAATTTGCGATAGGCCCAACCCAATGGTTGCTACACAATTATTTTTCTCAAAAATCTACTCTGTAATGTATCGGTGCTGCCACATCTAGCCGGCCGGCTGCTCATAGGTACTTTGCTACTGGCCTCTTCAAGTTCTGGTGCCTCGATGCATTCTACAAAAAACTCTAATCTCTAATATAAGTAGTGCGTAAGGCCATGCTAATACGTATTACTATGCTAATGATTAGTCCTTAATTTATTCCATTGGAATATTTTACTATTCTTTTGCATGCACGGCTAGTGAAAAGCTAGTGAATCCTTCCACCAAGTGCATGTATGTGCGTTCATGGAACTAATTGTTTTGTGCATTTTGTACAAAATCCACCCCTTCTCATTAGTCGTGACACTTTGACGGGTGGCTGCATGTAATTCGGTTTTTTGGTTAACCGAACAAACCGAACCGATATATTTCGGTTAATATGGTTCGGTGTCTAAATTTTGTGTACTTATTTCGATGGCAATTTCTTCAAAACCGAAATTTAAGAAAACCGAATAAACCAAACCGTATTAACCATAAAAACCGAATGCCCAGCCCTACGCATGTCCTACAACTTGTCATCCATGTGATGGTTTGGTCCTAAAACTTGCAAAGGTAGATTATTTGGTCCTAGAACTTGTCATGAAGGTGCAATTTTGGTCCTCGGCCAATTAGCAGTCGCCAAGTGGAGCCAGCTTGGCTGGGCCGGTCAGCGCCGCACATTTTGCATTTAACCCCTGCCTTTACTCGTTTTCAACCCATAGCACACCTCGTTGCTGTCGAAGGAAATAACACCTGAATTGATTTTGTCCCCCTTCCTCCCCCAATCATTCGTTCCACTTGTCCTCTGCCCGGATCTCGCCGACCGCTCGTGTTGGGTGCTGGCTTACGCCAACATCCATGGCGTCGTCACCAGAGTTCACCGGTGATATGTAGCCTCCTCCTACCGCGCACCAAGTTCGCCCGCACGACGTCTTCCCTCCAGATTATGGTGTGTCATCCCCTGTCTGCTTTGTTCCTCCTCCTCTGGTTTCCTCCTCCTCCGGTGTCGTTCGCAGCATCGGCGGATCACTCTGTTTGGAGAGCGCTGATGGTCCGAACGGTGGATGGGTGTGGCTATAGTGTAGTGGTTCCTGCGTCCTGAAGCTGCTTATTTGGTTCACGATTTCAGCCTGGGGTTTAGGGCTGTGAAATTTGGGATTTCGGCAAAGAGGCTAGGGTTATTTGTTTCGTGTTCTTTCGGCCACACCATACTGTTTTGGGCAGTATGTGCATATTGTTTTGCAATGCGTGCGTAATTTGGCCTAGGGTTTTGTTGTATTGTTCAGATTGACCAGTAGGGCACAGGTTTCTAGTTCTAAAAATGTGAACTTTATAGTTGTAGCAGGCAATGTAGGGCACAACTTCACATCTATGTTGCAATACTCAACCGTTTTGTAATGCTAGTACATTAGTAGTACTGAATTTGTTCATTTAAGTTGCTAGATGCAGTTAACTAAATTTATTCAGTTAACTGAATTCAATTTGCAAGATGCAGGTTATTTTATTTTCTTCAGATAGCTCTGTTTGTGTAGTTCATCAGTAGTTTATAATTGTTGTTTGAGTTGTGTTGAAGATTGTGCTTATTGTAGGAAAGCAGGAATACCATGTCCTGCAAAATAGCATTACATCACCAACTTTCAGTTAACTTGCAACATGCAGTTAACCGACTTTATTCAGTTGTAGTTAACTGAATTTATTCACTCTACATCAATTGAATCTCTACTACCTAAAAGAACCGTAAGGTTCCGTTTCCCCTCTTACGTCGCCCCACCTTTCGTCATGCCTCTCCTCCTACGACTCCCCACCCCTCCATCGATTTTTCTCCCTCCCTCCAGTGGTTTTCTCCCTCCTGGTTCCCCTATTTACCGGTTTTCCAATCTATCTTTGGAATCACAGAAATCATGTATGGAAACCAATCTCTTAATCGGTAATACAAACGCAATTAATACAGACACAATCATTTCCTAGAAAAAAAGTACAAACGCAATCAATTCATGTATGGTAACAAATATCTTCTCAATAACGGTGATCAATCTCCTTTCTTCTTTCAATCAATCTCCCTTTTTCTCCCATCTCTACTATTTATTACCTTAAAAAAACGCAAGGTTCCTCTCCCATCTTACGTTGTCCCACCCTTACGTCCATCCCTCTGTGTGCTATCCCCACCTTGATCTCCACCGATTTTCTCCCCCTCATGATTTTCTATCTAAATTGGTTTTGATCTGGCCGAACAAACCAGGATCAATCTTTGGTAAAGGATCAATCTTTGGTAATACAATCAATTCTCATATGGTAATCAATCTCTTATTTGTCAACGCATAATGCAATCAATTCATGCCAATCACGTACATATTCTTCTCTTCCTTATATTGGTTTATTTTCTTCCTTTTCTGCTTATTCATTTTTCTCTATATACATGTCTCCCTTCCTTTGCAGATTTATTCTCATTCATCCCATGATTTTGTGCCTGCCGCGCTAGGACACGCAAGACCCTACGTGCGCCGCCGCTGGGATCCCGCTCGCACCGCGCCGGGAGACCTCTACCCTCTCTAGGAGAAGAGGCCGCAGCACCATGACCAGGGAAGATCATTGTGTTGTCAAGTACTCGCCTCAAGTCTACGGCTCTATGCCACACACTCGAGGCCCAGACCCGTGTCTCCTTTGCGCACCTACGTTGAGTGCTGCCGCCGAGCCCTTTTCTCGACGTCATCGCTTGACCATCACTGCCGAACCGGGCCTCCCCACAAGCCTCCTGCCCTTCTCCATTCCAGCGTAGAACCATCACCAAGCCTTTTTCATCATCGAGTCACCGGGAGACGGGAAGCGGGAAGATGTCGCCGAAGGCCGTGCATCTTTTCCGAAGGATGGAGGTTGGCCAGACCACACGCTCCAGGCAAATGACTCGATGATGGTCAACTGCTACAAGGAGGCGGGGCGAGTGATTTATAAATGCTTTTATGTTTATAATTTTCAGTTATTTTTCTTGTCTGCTTCATTGTCATATCTGATGTATTTTTCCTTGATATAGTTACAGGGATCTTCAAGGGGCAATGCCCTGATGGCAAGCTAACATGCATGATGCAGTTATGTACTTTACTTGCTCCCATGAATATATTTGTCATATTTCTCATGAAAATCAGAAGCTCAATACACACTGATTTATCTTAGCTATATTCTGTTCGTTTTAAGAAAATGTGAATTATTTGCGATCTAGAAGGGACTCATTATCCTTGGAAGACTAGCATTATGTAATATATTTGTAATCCCACATTTTTGCCCGTATATATATATACTGTCTGAACTCTCTCTAACCAAACATACAATCTAGACATGTAGTATTACAGTTGGGTCGTTCAGATATTCCATAGAACATCACCCTTCTCACTATTTATTAATATTCCATGCACAATACTTCTCAGTTTTTTTAGGTTTATAAGAACAATCTATGGCATGTTTTTAATCACTTCAGTTATTAGTCGTGTTTTTTATACCATAACCTATGGCATCTCTACTTTGTGATCTTGACCTTTACTCCACATTAATATAACCTAATTGTAAATTAGTTTGATGGATTGTATATCATCCTCTGACTTCGTTTGATTATAATACCGTCCTTGGTTACATATATAAATTTTGGTAATTTCCTTTTAGTCCTCTGCAAGTGAACTTACCTATTTTACAAAACTCAGTTTTATTGTGAAATTTGATTATTCCTCTATTTGCGGCTGGCCTTATAGTCAGTTGTCCATATGAGTTTACACAGAACATTACTTATCGGATACTATACAATGATGCCGGCAAGCAAATGGTCGAACAAGTTATTCATGAATATTTTGATTCCCGTTCATGGATGGAAAGTTTGCATGTGATAAAAATTAATAAAAATGGGACAGAAGATGTACAGAGCAACCATCAAGAGAGGAATCTCTCAAACTTCACAATGGACCGCAAAAGATTGACTGAATGGTATCTTTCTTATTACACATCATTTGTTATGTTCGAAAAGATGAAGCGCCCCTTGATCAATGTACTGAAGAATATTTGTATGAGTTGCGTGTAATAGTAACATAGAAATATAAAGAAAAAATGGCCGTTGTTGAACCTAGCATGTCCGCAAACAAGCAACATATGGCGATGGACATATT